TTATCGATATTTACTGCATTCAGTTACCATCATCTATCAGTATTACGAGACACTGTACAAGGAGAAGGAGCAAGGGAATATGCTCTTCTAAGGTGTGATGATGAGTGCGGTCCCACTCTGCTATATATTTTGAAGGGAAGCTGGGTTGAGGTATGGTCTGCAGTGAACAGTCCCATTGCGCATTATCGTAATGGTTGATGCTGATAGTTTGTGTGATGTTGCTCCATACTCGATGTAACAGCGGCTTTTTTCTATATGGACGAGGGACAGTTGTTGTGTCAGTCTGATATCTGGGCGTGCGCTTTTTACGTGCATTGCTGTCCGACTTGATCGATTTGCGCTATGAGGTTTCCATGTTTGATAAAGCACTCGATGATGATTACTATTATTGGGTACGCGCTCAAATTGCTCGCTAGCTCGTCGTGTTGAGCAGCGAGTGCCGCAATGCGCGAAAAGGGAAATGCCTGGTACTCGAGACTTCCTCTTCACATCGGTCTTGGTCCCTACCGGATCGATAGGTGATCTCGAGACAACTCCAAAGTTGATAATGCCAATGATGATTATCGTTGTCGCCCCAGGCTGAACAACATTAATGTTGATAAACACAACTAAGAGTCGTCTCTCTGAGGCATCTGTATGGGAGAATGTATGATGATAAATGCTATAACTTGTCTCAGGCAAAGCCGTTGAGGACATGATAGTAAAGTGGTGAACAATCTCTGACATTAATTTTTATTCCCATGTGTATCAACATGAAGGTATGTATAACCCTCTAGATATTCTTAGTCGGCTTGATCTTGGTAAACAGTAACCGGAGAACTTTCTCAGACAGTGAACTATATTCACGTATGTAGAGTCGACTGCAACCGAATATTAGAATAAGTTCCATCTCTGTGCGAGATATTTGCTTGCTGATTCCCGGAAATCAGCCCGCTAAGGGATGTTTCGAGCAACTACCTTTCTCCCCAAGTGTCTCTCAACAGTCAGTCGAGTGACTCGTTCGATGTTGTGCGCAACAGTCACCGTGATTACGAGTTGTGTCATTTTCATATACAACCGACTTCAGTAGAGCAGGCCGAGCTAGAGACAACGACATACCGCTCACACTGAACTCAATAACGATGCCACTGTGAAACGATACACTCAACCTTCGTCTCGTCCCTCTATCGCCGCTAACCACTCGACTATGTCACTTCTCGGCTCGATGCCGGCCTCGGCCATGGCGCAAACGACATCAACCACCTTGTCCTCAAAGTCGATGACAGAACTATCTATCAGGGCTACTCGGATGGCCCATAGCCCTCGATGAGGCATGGACAGGCGTCCAAGGGCCGCCAGACAGTGTCGTTCCGCTGAAGCTCGATCGGTGGCTTGCAGCACGTTGGCAACTTCAAGAGAGGCAGTAGGCAGTTTAGCAGAGGCATATGATGATGTTATAGTTGCATGCAGGGCCCGGGAGTGAACCCCTAAGGCGGCACTCGCTGCGGCTTCCCGACCTATTGGCTGCAGTCGCCACAGCTCTCTAGTCGGCAAGTCCTGAGGCAGTAGCTCGGGTCGGCCCGGGAACATAGTGCTCGCCCTGAGACAGGCGTCTCGCATGAGCATAGGAGGCACTGATATGCTCCGCATAGCGTCGATGAGCCACTTACACACGACCTCCATTGCTCTGTTGGACATGTCTCCCACAGCAGAAGCAGTAGGACTCGGCAAAAGCCGCCAAAACTCAGCCAGCGGCTTTTCGGGGTGCCCAGGATTCTTAGCCACACCGAGCAGCCAAATGCACCAAATAGTGGCAGTGAACGTAGAAGGAAGGCCAATAGATGGTGGATCTGTCCGCTCGGCCGAGGGTAGACTATCCCGGAGCTCCTCCAGTCTGCTTGCTATAGCGACATTCGAGGACCCGTCGACGATGCACTCCACCGCGCCCGACAGGTCCGAGCCGTTGACCAACTTGTGGAAAGCCCAGCCAGCCTTGAGAGGCAAGCACTGGGGGAACGACGCTATGCATTTCTCTGTCACCGAAGGGGCCTCTTTCGTTTGCGTCATTGCATAGGCTGACCACAGCCGAACAGATGCTGTACTAGTTGCCACCACGGCCCTTCCGGTAGAGGGTTCAGCTGCAACGATGAGCTCCCTTAGGAGCAGCGACTCATCGATGTCATCTGCTGTACAAGCTAACAATGCATGGGCCAGGCATCTCGCGGCGAGGAGACGAGCGTAGCCCGACACTATGGGGAGCTGCTCTGGATCGCCAAAGTAGCCGTGGAAGACTAAACGATAAGGATGCCGACAGGAGAACCTCTGCAGAGAATCTGAAAAAAGACAATCTCGAGATACACATGGAGCAATACCATGAAATGTTACGGTAGTTCCGAGAGGAGTGGTACGAGCACGAGTCGATAATGCCCACCGATAAGGTGGATGCCAGTGACTCCCATCCCTCTTACCCATGCTAGCTCCACATAGAATATCCACTAGCCTTAAGACTAACTCCATGCCATCCCTCTTGGTCAAGTCCCGAGCCAGCCTCCCGACCAGGTGGGCATCTGCCTGGCTGAGCTCCTGCCTCGGCGTCCGAGGTACCTCCAACGAGAACTCCTTGGCCACCCAACCCAAGACTGGAGATTCCGGGAAGTTCTCCAGAGTCACGCCCAGGCTGTGTTCGACATCGATATCATCAGGGGTGGACGGCGAGGCTGCATCAATGCTCTCGCAAATGCCGAGATAACCCGGGTTGACGTTCATGATGTCCTGCCCGACCAGAGCATAGTGAGCCGATGGAGTGCCGATAAGAGGCGACATCTTTTTGAAAAGGGCCCGAGTGACCACCCCTCTGAACAGCATTATAGCCCTGTCCATGTCACACAGTGCCACACGGCAGAGCATGTCATAGACCACCTCCATAGTGAGAGAGCTGAGTACCCCTGATCGCATCAAAGCGTCCAACAAGGCCTCAGGGTCACGCCCCAGATCCTCGCCCTGAGCGTCACCACTATCCAAAAAACTCTGCACGCACGAGCTGGCAAGGGCACTCGCAACGGCGGGCTCTCGCATGGCCCGAGTCCAAAGAGTTTGGTCCTGCTTCCGGTTCGGCGAGGGGTGGTCGAGCAAGCGCAACTGCCATAACCGTGGTGTACCTGATCCGCATTATATCGCTCCGCTGTGCGGGAATATGCACATGGTCAACCACACATATTGGTGGCGATATGAAAATTCTAAAAGGAAATTTCTTGAGATTCCTGTACATTTCTATCCGGATTCGTATATAAACTTCTATAATTAGTGAGAAACTCCCAAGCTCAGCTGAGGATCGCCCGGTCACCGAATGCATCCTACCAGGTGAGCTCGTCACAGCGTCCTCGAGTATAGTCCTTATCTTGTCCTCGATACTGCCCTTGTCAATACCAAGACTAGCCATCCACTTTTTCTGATGGTGTATGAACTCCATCCAGTTCTCTACCCTCTCAGGGTGACTCCGACATGCTTGCACAAGACGGCGGTTCTCCGTTTCAAGTTCCCCAAGGGCCACCGTCAAGTCCCTGTCGTCCCCTACCGCGTCACCATCATGACCTCCTTCCTTCTCCTCCTCTTGAGCCTTCGGATCAGCCATGCCCAAGAAGGCGTCATCAACCCCAGGCATCTCACATTTACCCTTAGCCGCCGGGCCCCAATGATCTGTACTGGCCGCGTTGACGACCACCGTCGCCTTCTTGTCATAATAGCGTACAGGTGCATCACGTAGCCCATCTCGACGACCACCAGAGTTAACCAAACGCTTCAGTATAGGAGGCACTTCAGGACGGAAGCACTTGCCGTTACCGAACGCCGAGCCGATAGAGTCCGCGAAGAACTCAAAGGAGCCGACATTGAACGTGACCTCTCCTGATGAGGCACGTACCTCCGGCCGCCGGTCCCGAGTCGGTTCAGAGGCCGAGCTCGACACACTCGAGGACCGCCTCCGTTTCTTATGATGATGATGGTGATGCTGCTTTCGGCTATACGGCGACTCCTCACCACGATGACGACTGTGCTTCCTTGTCTTCTCCTTCTTGTGTTTTCGACGGCCCTTGACGCCCTCGTCTTCCACCGTGAGATCGACAGTCCTGGGCTTAAAGCTCTTCCCGACTGAGAGGGCTGCGAGGGGATTGCCAGGTGGTAGTGGTGGCGATGATGATGATGATGACATACAAAACTAGGCAGAAACCCCCAGACACTATGGACCATCGTTCCAACGCAGAAGGTCCCTCACTGGAACTCGATAAAATTCGGGAATGATCAGCAAAGATACGGTATTTTTTAATTTCGCGGTGCTCCAAATTCTGGTAATTCCCGTAAAATTGCTCCGTCTGAGAGAAGAGGACTGAGAACCAGAAAGCTTTTCATTGACTTACCGAGCGACACTGAATTCCCTGTGAGACAAACTTGCATAATATGCTCCCCCCCCATTTAAACCAGTGCTGGCGCACTCTAGGACATAAAGAGGTGACGTTGTACATTCCCGAGATGTGATGGTAGACTAAACGCAACACAGGACTGGGAGACCGCCAAGTCCACATCCATTGACATGCACTCCAACAAGCATGCATTCAGTAAGGGCTCTCCCATTGAGGTCTAGGGCTAGCTGAAGAACTCGACAGAGAGGTTGCCGAATGCGCATTAGAGTACGTGGATCAGTGCAGATGTCCCCAGCATCACAGCACTGGGTGGCGTCATTGGAGGTGTACTCCCTAGGACAGGCTATGCAGTGCTCTACTCGATTACTACCGTATCTACCATATATCTGGGACGCAACGATGAGTACCACAGTTTCGATTTCTCCGCGACTTGAATTCCCAGGAATGACGACTTAGGTTCAGATTCGTTAAGACAAGTGAAGGACTGCCAGCCCAGCTTCCGCGTACTGCACTGACCGCCTATAACCGGCCGTGGAGTAGTACTCTCTATTGAATGTGCCATCTCTCCGGTATGTCACAGCCTGAACAGTAGTGGCCGGGTGGGCATAGGATGCACTCCTGAGGGAGAGGGACCGCACACACCAAGACCGGTAACGACCTTCCTGCCGCGTGCACTGATGAGCATATCCTTCAACCTTCGAGCGCAGGTACTGACGCTACAAGTAGCACAGCATCTACGGCCCGTTAACAGACATAGGAAGAGGCGATGAGGAGACTTACAAGTAGTAGCCTCCAGGGCAGATGGGCCGGTAGCAGTAGACGTTGGCCTTGAGGTCACATCGACTGTCTCGGTCCTCCACACAGGGACATGGGCATGACTGACGACTGGTGATAGAGTGGTGCCCCTGAGCTCCCTCAGGTTACATTAGCCGATTCTAATGCCACATAGTCGTCATAGTCCATTATAGCGTCCTGAGTAATTACAGAGTGAATGAGCAGTGAAACGGTAGGCCAACACCAACAGAACATAACGGCCTGTTACTAGAGACTGCCGCCGCTTGCAAGAGCGTATTAAAACTGTAAAACGCGGCTCTTGTTCAGACCAGGGAAATTAATTATCACGTCAACGGCACGTCTGAAGCTGCATGGTATCGAGGTCAACCTCTTGGCTGTATCGAATCGACCTACCCCAGGAGCTAGCTGGCTCGTCGAGAACACAGCGGAGGCCTCGCCCAACTACCCTCATCTCCGGATACCATACTTACAAGCTCTACTTCTCCATAATGAAATTCCAAATAGTTGTGCTGAGAGCCCAGGAGGGAGGTCTTAGATCGCCATGTTATTCGAGTATGGTAGAGATGCGCAAGGCAATAAAGAGAACGCAACAAGAAACTGAGTGGTGAGTACAGTCAGAATAGGGTTTAGCGTGGCTAAATGAAGCCACTCGAAGCAAAGGGAAATCTATGGAGGGAAGAGTGGTCCTATTCTATGAAATGAGACCAATTGCCGTCATCCCAATACTACCGCGAGGCATGTGACTGCAAACATAAAAGTCCAAAAGGTTACTATGTGGGAGCTCGACATAGACCAAGGCTCTCGTATCCATAGCCTCTACTTCCTCCTCTTCCGCCCCTAGGCCGGCCACAGTACTGCTCCCGATATCGTGACTGCTGATAGTCCGCCATGATACACCAATGGTCACTGTTGTAGTTTGGCATCGTATAAGCCCTATCGAATACATGGTCAGCTTAGGAAGCCGACCTATTGCTAGTGATAGCTCTATGCAACGCAAAGTCATAAGCCTCGAGTGACCTGCTGTGAACGCTGTCTACGCCTTATGATATGCATCCACTCGCCCTGAGAATTCTAAAAGTACCTTTCCCAGAGATCCTTCCACGTTAGTAGGTAGTAGTTAGGGGGATTCATGGTAAGTTGACCGCCTCTGATGAGAATGCCAGCTCGCAGTAGAAGTCCGAGTATATGCTCGGGTCGAAGGCAGGAGAATTGGAGTAGAACTGACATCAATAGAAAGGCAACTGTACGGTCTTTCCCAAGGCGTGGTGGAAAATGACGACGTACAGAAGGATGTGGTTCTAGTGTATGCCAAGCGTCATCATCTAAGCAATCCTTGCTCTTGTTTTAAGCGCGGGCTTTGATGTGAGCAACTTCATCGATGGTAAAAATGATGGTAGCCTGTTCAAGAGAGTCTTGTCGATTGTCACGTGCATATTTGAATCGCTCTTGACAACTTGTAATTCCCCAGGTTCGATCCCGGCACATGTCATTTTTCCAAGGGGCGTATCTCCTCTACAACGCTCAAGTCGGTGATGATGTCGATATTTCATGGCACATGTAGGTAGACGGGCTGTATTTCAAGGCCACGGTACTCCACTACTACAAATATTTCTCCGGTTAGGACCTATTTCTGTCTGGACCACCGGTCAGCACATTGACACGCAAGATTCGTCACAGAATTGCCACATTGCAATACTATTGTTTCGCTCTCCTTATCAAGTCCCTTGAAGTTGACTTTTCTTTTCTCACTCCATGGAATGCTGCAAGCTACTGGCTCTGCTCTAGAATGGTCTCTTACTCCCGAGTTTCGCTCCGTCCTGAAAAATCCTTCATCACAGTACCCTAGTGGCTGGCGAGGCCTGTTGGACTTCCTCAGTAGATACACAGCTCGCTTGGCGGCCTCCAATAATGAGCGAGTCGCTGCTGGGTTGAGATACCCATTTTCACAGTAATTGTGTATTCTCAGCGAACGTGGTGAATGGGTCTGAGTCTCAGGGGTGCCGGAGTGATCGGAAGACGCCGTAACAGAGGATCCGCTTCTCTCGCCAACACCGGAGCGTCTATAGTGGCCTCATCAATGCCAGCTCATGTTCGGGCAGTAGCCGTTCAGAGTATTTGTCGAGAAGTGGACGCCCAGACGGACCCGTAGCATGGTCAGGCCTGGTGCTCATGGGATGAGCCTATCAGGTACTCGCCGCCGCTGGTGTCGCCTAATGGCTCCAGAGAGATGCTCCGACAACGAGAGCTGCTCAGTTTGGATAAACTCATCCGCGCTGATGGGAAGTTCAGTCCTAGCAAAAAGGATATTGAAGATCTAGTTGTAGTCAGAGGGACTTTTATGGATGGCGTTTATCTTTGCTTGGCTCGCTCACAGTGTGTGAAACAAAACCTATTATGAAGTGGTTTTTATGGGCATTACTTTTCCAATAGAGTACCACTTCATCGAAGGCAAGTAATGAGGCGTCTGTTGAACCTCGAAACAGCTTGCCTGAATAGAATAAATAACATTGCTTAACGAGCTCGGGAGCATATTAGGCATTATTGGTTCATCCTCAGGAGGACCAGAAGTTGGAGAAGAAGTTTCAGAGGGACCGTAGGACGGTTGGGTATCGAGGACGCTGATGGTGTCATTGCTGTTGTTGATAGGCAAGGGTTACAATCAAGCAAGAGATGCCCTGTTATTCGAGAGGAAGGGCCGAGATATCGATGAGCTACATTCTAAGAGGATTGAGGTGGAGAGTACCTCGGGTTGATCATCCACAAAGCCACTGCTGCTGCAGACACTGGAGAGGGCATTGGCGGGTCTACGTATAGAACACGAAGCAAAGATGGACGTGAGGCTGGCTAGGGGACGAGGACGTATGGATCAGGACCATTGGAAAGGGGTGAATGGGAACTATAGGGAGTCCAAGTGGGAAGCTATCCGCTTAGCTACTGCGTATGCGTGCTGACCAATCGAGACGGCTTAGGCAGGCCCAGTTGAATAAAGCCAAAGATGTGGACTTTATCAAGAGCATAGGAGGCCCTCTTGGTAGATTGGGGAAGGTCATTGATAAGTAGTACCTGGGGGGTTCTCTCCTTTACGTAGTCTTGGTTTTCTGTAGGTACTCATCCCCTAGTTCCTCGATATGGGTGCCGCCGCTTAGGGATGGTGTCGTGGTCAGTAATGTTGGTGATATCATAGCACCAGCATTGGAGAGGTTACTCACTTCGAAGGACTTGGATCATTGTCCGGGCCTGAAGGAGGCCCTTGTGGTACTACAGAGGGATGGATTGGGTTCGATCGTAGTCTTGCCAGACCAGGAAGCCCCCTGTAGATGTACGGGCTCAACTTCCTGTGTGGAGTAGAGCGGACAAGGAGAGGCAGCGATTGGTAGAGCTGGGGGTGAAACTACGGAAGCTCAACTGTTTGGCGTCTTTGAGGGAGGAGGGTAGTGGTGATGGGTTTGCGGTATGGAGGGTCGAGGCAGGTGCTGAGGAGGCGAAGGAAGAGGAGGAACAAGTGGTGGTGGAGAAGGCGGAGGCGCAGCCGACCGATGAGACTCTTTGTAAAGGGGACACGGTCTGTGTGGTAGACCTGCGGTTGGGGAAGGCTTGGGTTGGAATGTGTTTGGAATAGGTCGCTATGAAGTTCCCAGAGGTAGAAAGGGCTGAGAAAGCAAGCGTGATGGTGACACGGCTGATGCGAGGGCGAGCACTACAGATTAAGATGTGATAGTATCGTTGTTGGGCCTGCCTTTGATGATAGTAGAAGGTTCAGGTACGAAGGGAGGATGCAACGACAGGACCTCATAGACGAGCTCATGTATATGGACGGGCATTGCTCTGGTGAGGGGAGATGCCGGGTATATACTTCGTCTTGCATATTCCCGGTCATTGTCGTGAAGCATTATCCAACTTTGTATGGAGTGTCTCGTGACTTCATGCACGAGATTGTGTCATTCGCTCAGCGCTTGAGCTGGGACGGTGTTTACTCAGTTTGATAGGGGAGGATGTGAGTTCAGATTCGCCTGGAGTACAAAGGTCAGTGGAGGATATGGATGAAACTGATCCTATACCCCGAGCTGTGGAGACAGAGGCGGCCTTGGAAGCTGTTGTTGGTAGTTGACCGAATTTCCACGGGCCCACCTTTATGACTAATCTCAGGTCGGTCAGTTGGTAAGGTTCTCGACGAGTTGAGCCGGGAAAGGTCTCGACGAGTGAATTATAATAGGATCGCTAAGGTAGGGGCTACGCGGCTTTGGTGATACCTGTGAGGTCGTGGCAGATGGCGACACACGCTGAAGGGGTTAGACGTAGACGGGAGTGTAAGGAGGCAGGTCGTCGTCAAGCTATTCTACGGTTGAGGTGGGCCACTGGCGATCTTTTTGTACTGGTAGTTTTGATGTTATCAGATCCTATGAGGATAGCTGTAGAAGTGATGTACAGACTATGGTGCAAAGGGAAGCTGATTCGGTGGTGAGGGAGGTCATGGGGAGAGCGGTCAGTGAGAGTTCGAATCAAACGGCACTAGAGTAATAAGGAACACAATAGGATTAGTGGACACTTTGAATGCTCTCAGGGAAGCTCGAGTGGCTGCTAGAATTATTGATCCTCTTCTGAACGCGATGGAGGAGGAAGAGGGTGGTCCGGACGATTACCAGGATGTTGTGAGTTGGATCAGCAGCGGCTTAGGTTGATGCTGGGATCCTTCAGGTTTTGGGTCGCCTTATGCATCAGTTCTTAATACCCCATGTAGAACGTCGACGAGTTGAGGCGGGTCTGGCACTTCACCAAGGTCGATTCGCCCATGCAGCGCGGAGGGCAACGGAGGGCACTGTGAGGCTACTGTGGATTGCCGTGGTCTGGAGTGAGGCTCGGCTCCTGTGCTAGGTACGGGGCATCGCTGACGGGATAGCCGTAATGGAGGGAATTGGAAATAGTTGTGTCGAGGTCGAGTCGAAGGAACGGACGAACGCTCCGTTTCATCGATCGTCATCATCATCATCGTCTTTGGAGTAGCGATGGCTACGTCCTATACTCATGCTTTCACTGGTGTACTTGTATGGGGTTGTGCGAAATCGATGGTTTTGAGTTGGGCAGGGCATGTGTGTTTGATATAGATCCTATCAGTACTTTGTGCATCATCATCAGCAGCAGCCCCATGCTAGCAGGTTATAACAGCGCGTCCTCGGATAGTGACAGTGATGTTGACGAGTAAGTGAATTCGAATCGACCAGGGTTGGTTTTCGGTATCTCTATCGTCTTAGAAGGAAAGCTGTTGGACCTCTGCCGTCTGCCACCTCGGCCTTGGCCGATTACGACACTACTGTGGGGTCGCGGAAAAAACAGAAAATGGAAGGTAGCCTCTCATCGGGTTAATAGGGTATGTCTTGGTTTGAATCTAGATACAATCAAAGCGTCATCAGATCATGTGTCGAGTTCTATGAATCCTGAGGTAGGTTCAATACGAGGATAAGCATTGATTCGAATGGCAGGTTAGGAGCACTGGTAGTGGTTTGAGAGCTCCTTTGCTTACTGGAGGCGGCCTGGCCCCGGTTGGTATAGAAATAGGGGAGGTAGAAGTAGCGCGAGCGAGGTAGCGGGGGAACTGTGGAGATTTGGGCGAAGTGATGTTGTTAGTGTTTGGGATGAAGAGCCTCCAGAGGCGCAGAAGAAGAATAAGAAACGTAGTGAGATGGTTGAGATGATGCGGGGAATAGGAGGGGTCTCTTCGAGGGAGTTGAAGAATATTCAGCAGCTCGGTAACGACCTGTAGTTCATTGAAAAGGGGATTTTATAATGTCGCTTTAGGTGCAACGGCGTTGGACATAGATCCTACTTCACTACAGGACGATCATTGGTATGAGGCCCAACAAGCTAATGAGCAGGCTCAAAAGGTAGAAGCTGGGGTGAGTGGTTGTTGCTACCGGGGGTGTTTGTGTAGGTGCAAGAGGCGGCCCTTGGGGATTTCTATGATAACACGAAGGGTGCGAAACAGGCTAATCCGGGTGGGAGTGTTGGGAAGGTAGTCGTCTCCTCTCTGGTTGGGTATTTGACAGTCTCTATTAGAATCATAAAAGGAAGCATCACATCAACTGGCTAGCCGAGGACACTATCGATAACGGTGCGAAGCGATTGTTGGACCTAGGCACGCAGGCTGGAAAGAGAGGCCAGACAGCTCGGAAGTACGGCTGGTAAGGTATGTTGATAACGTAACAGTAATTGTAGCATTGATCGGTTTTACAGTAA